AAATTTTATTAATGCAATGAAAACTGACATAAATGAAAAGACAAAGGCAAAATCTTCAACCAGTAGTCATGGCTCTCCACAACTTCCTGTTTCGTCTAGCTCTTAGTAACGTTTGTCTTTTTGCCGTTCCTCCTAAACCCCGTTTTGTCATTCATTCACACAAACTGGTCAGGTACGTAATCCGCTGACCCCCACCTGCTCTTCCTTTTTCCTCGATATATCACTGGGAGTGTCAAATTCGCCTAGCTCTCCTTTCTCCTTATGCATCCCAGAATTTTATCTCTTTCTAATTTTGAGTAAAATTGCCCATTCTGTTTCTATTTTCTTTAAGTCTTCTTACGCGCGCCGTCCATGGTATTCTCATCATCCTTCTGTAGAACAACATTCTGGTTGCATCTAACCTTCTAAGAGATTTTCCAGCATTTATTGCTCTATAGGAGAACTGATGTTACACTCTTTTCTTTGTTTCTAACAAAAATTTTCCTGTTTCTTAATACTTTGTTTAGCTTTTGTAAATTAAAACAAAATACAAAAAATACTATGGAATCGAGGAAATTTAAATATTGTATACACTGAATAAAAAAGGAAAACATCAGGAAAAATACACACGTATGAACAATATATTGACAGTAGTATATCTTTAAGCAGATTACACTAAGTCCTAACAGCCATTCCTTTTGTTTGCATCAGGATGGCTATTTTGATTTAATATAGTATATAATTCAATGCCCCAACGATAGCTGGGGAAATAGTAGCCTGAATTTCCCCACTTTATTGAAATCTCAATCCGTTGCTCATTGTACTTTTAGGTTTTCCAGTTTCTTTGGCCTTGATATTACAGTCATCAGGAATAGACACATCAATGATGGGGTATTTTATCGTATTTTAGGGAAGTTCCAAAAGTGCGTAGCATTCTGGCCTCTGCTTCTCGTGGTAACTGCGTCACATCGCATTCTACACACCCGCATTGAATCAGGGGATTAGTGAGCAAAAGAAACATTGTGCCGAGTAGGAATTATGAGTAAAAATAAAAAATAAAAAATAAAAAAAAAAACCAAGTGACTAACGAAATAAAAAATAATCGTTGTTTTGGTGATTGAAATGTTAATTTTGAATATTATGAATGAGATTCTCAAAATATTTGTTTGGGATGAAATGGCAGACATAGTTTAGTTCGGATGATCGCAAAATTAAATTGATTTCCTTAATTCACAATTTTTTGGAGATATTTTAAACTGAGTTTAAACCATTTTTTTAATTTACAAAGTTTTTTGTTACTTTAACTCAATATGAATTAAAAACAATTAAATGTTTAATTTTTTCAGCTATTTGAAAATGTTAATTTTTAACTGTCCCCTCCTCATCCAGACACAAATCCCAATGCTGGATGGGCATAAAGAGCAGATTTTCAATCCCGGGAGCATCCTAATTATAAAAATGTATAATATGCCTACGTAGAGCAAGTATGACCCGAGTTAGAGTGATTTCAGACATACTAATGGATAGACAGAATTTGACATTTATTTATTTAGATGAATTTAATTTTATTATGGGATCTCCAAGAATTGCTATAGTTATGCAATTAAAACAAATTGATTGGATTTGCTTAGGATTTTAAAATATTTTCAGGGAATCAACTGCGTTAGAAATATGCAATCTTTATTTCCCAGAAATCGTTATATTTTTAGCCTATTATAATCTGACCCATTTTAGAAAACAGAAATGATAATCTTGAAAAATTTATTCTGAATTCCTCAATACACTTCATGAAACTTCAAAACCTCATTTTAATCTGATTCCGAGATATGTCTAACACCAGCAAAAAAGACCGATTTGGATCGAAATTCCAGTTCAGGCCGAAAATTGAATTCTCGAAATCACAAGAATTCTTCATTTTTCACTAGGATTTCTTTCATCTTCATTTCAATTGCTTTATTTCCACTAGTAGTATTAGTAGTAAATAATATTTTCATCAAGCATTGTCAAGCATTTTCATTTTTCAGATCTTTCATTTCAATTGCTTTATTGTCAGTAGTATTATTAGTAGTAATATTATCTTCATTTTTCATTAGATCAAGCATTGTCAAGCATTCTTCATTTTTCATCTTCTTTCATTTCATTTCAATTGCTTTATTTCCACTAGTAGTATTAGTAGTAGTAATATTATCTGCAATTTTCATTAGATCAATCATTGTCAAGTTCTTCATTTTTTCACTAGGATTTCTTTCATCTTCATTTCAATTGCATTTCTTCATTTTTTAGTAGTAGTAATATTATCTGCAGATCAAGATTTCAAGTTTCTTCATTTTTTCATTCCATCTTCATTTCAATTGCTTTATTTCCACTAGTAGTATTAGTAGTAGTAATATTATCTGCAATTTTCATTAGATCAAGCATTGTCAAGCATTCTTCATTTTTCACTAGGATTTCTTTCATCTTCATTTCAATTTATAATTTTGCAGTACTAATATTATCATAATATGAGGAATTTTAAAACCTTTGTAAATGCTCGGCTATGAGTTACCTCCTGAATAATCGTAGCATAAAAATAAATACTGTATGGGGATCAAGGCTCCAATTTCTACACTCAGGATTGCCCAAGATGACAATTGTCTAGTTCAATGTTTCTCATCCTTTTTTTTCAACCGTGGACCACTTTTACCTCTTAATTTTTGTTTTTGGTGGCCTCACAATCTAATAAATAAATAATGTTTAATTGTTTTGTTGTATATTCTCAAGAACAAATTCACTTATATCATATACTAGCAGTAGAGCCCGGCGTTTCCTGGGGATGTAACAACAAGTCAAGTATCGACCATCATAAAGACTGAAAAATAAAATTGAAAAAAGATTATTGTTTAAGGTTGACAGACACACAGGTCTTAATTAGTTTTTTTTTTTTTTTTACGAATTGATCACACCCAAACTGAAACAGAAACCTTGTTTTCAATCGTTATGAGTCTACCGATTGAATAGAATTTTATTATAAACAATTGTCTTGTAAATGGAAAAAAGTGTGCAAGACAATAAGAAACACTACCTGCCAAAAAAAAAGTGATGTTTTGTTGAAATCGGTTAAAAAATGTAGGAAATCCGATCCCATATATAAACGAACACACACACACACACACAAACACACACACACACACAACCTGGGTTTTTATAAGTATAACTCGATATGAGTTGTCCCCCTTTCATTCTCGCAATAGCGATGCCTCTTATCGTGTTTTCAAATTGATTTCGTGCAAAAACAATTGTGTTTTTTCAATTTTTGGCGCTGTCAGAACGACCGCAAGGTAATTTTACGTAGTCCTGTGAAGTTTAGTTAAAATCAGTTGAAAAATGTAAGAAATCCGATCCAATATATAAACGAACAGACACACACACAACCTGGGTTTTATAATAAGTATGATTTATATTTTATTCTAGTTCTAATCATTCCTGACAAGTGAAGGTAGTTAAAAGAGCGGTGTCATAGGAAACAACACGTCTTATTGCGTGTATGATGTTTGTCCCTGTTTTCTAAATGATTTATACGCGAACTTATTACTCTTCACATACAGTATTTCCTCGATTAAACGTATCTCGATATTTCGCGCGTGAAATAAAGCGAAAAACAAATAAATTAAACAAATCTTTTTCAATCACCCGAACTAAACGACTTCTAACATTTCATCTCAAACAAGCATTTTGAGAATTGAGACTCTCATACACAAAGTTAAAAATTAAAATTTAAACCACCGAAATTTGTGCCAAGTTTATTTGAACATACCATTATTTTTGTAGATGAAATCTTATCACAATCTGGGACAATCGAAATAAATAAACGGTAAATTCTTTCTGCCTGTCAGTGTCTCTGAAAACATTCGAACTCGGGTGATACTTATTCTACATAGATATATTATATAACTTTTTGGAATTAGGATGTTCTCTGGATTGGAAATCAGCCCTTGATCAGGTGCTTGAACATTTAGTTGTGGGATTTGTACCCGGATAAGGAGAGAACAGTTAAAAATTCACATTTTAAAATAGCTGAAAAAAATTAGAGATTTTAAAAGTTTTTAATTCATAGTTTAAAGTAAGATAAAACCTTTGTAAATTTAAAAATGCTGTTATAAATTCAGTTTAAAATATCTCCAAATCTTTGTGAATTGAGGAAATCAATTTTATATTTTACTCATATTTTCTCAACCGATATAATAAATAAATGGATTAAATAAAAATTTTAATAAATAAATGTTTGTTATTTTTTTTAAATTTGCAAGAACAAAGAAAATATATACATTAACTTTTATATGCTTACGTTTTATTAAAATTCTAATTATCGCTTTTTAAAACTATAAATATTGCCGAAAACTGAAGGTAGTTAAAAAAAAAAAAAGCGCTCTCATGAGAAAAACAGTCCTTTTGGGCCTCCGTCTTATTATGAGCACGTTTGTTCGCCTTCTCCAATTTTTTTTTTTATTTTTATTTAACTGAATGTCTGATTATTTGTATTTATTTATTAAAACTTCAAAATAAGTGCTTCATTTTACGATCGCTGTGTATTAAAAAAAAAAAAAAAAATCGACAAAAGTCTAAATTTTACCGATCTTGCTAAATTGGGACCAAAACGTCGACTGTTCACGCGTTCTCTTTCCAGGCAGGTGCAGTTTATTGTTTGCGAAATCGAGGGCCTCAATAGCTGCGGGCAAATAAAGCACCGACCGCCCTTAGCGATTGTTCCAGACCATCTTGATCTCTTTAAAAAGCCTTTCTGGGATTTTTTTTTTGTTTTTTTTTTTCAAACAAAAAAAAAAAAAAAAAAAAAGACAGCAATATTGTAGGTAGGGTTTCTTTTTTTTTTTTTTCTTTTTTGACACTGAAGCGGAACATTTCTTGAAGCGTGGCATTACCCTGTAGAAATCAATCTTCACGTATCCGTTTTTATTCTAAAGATTTTAGAAATGCCTCCCAACGCCACTCAGACATCTGAGTGAAAACTCTTCGCCGAATCTGGATTAGCCAACAGTTCGTGCGTTTCGAACCTTTGTCTGGGGTGGGACGGGGTCGAATATGCGGTCAATAGGGAACGTCTGGACAAAAAGAACATCTTTCTCAGACTGAAAGAAAACTCGATCGACTTACGAAACATATTTTTAAACGTGATCAAAAAAGGAGATAATTTTCTCTGTTGTATAAAAAAAATATATATATTAGGATATTAAAAAAGAAACACTTTATTAACAGCAACGATCCAATAATAAATGGATGTTAAATTTATTTAAATGGCCCGGCGTTGCCCGTGCTTGATTCAAAAATTGTACGACTCATACAGAAATCGCTATCACTTGACTTAAAATATTTTTGCCCTTCCTTGCCTTTAAAGGAGTGCCCTTTTCCGTGCTGATGTTGCTACATGCCTTACTTCTTGCCTATCTCAAACTGCAAATTTTTTCTAAGCTCTATACTAAACATTAAATCTGTTACGAAAAAAGAACTAAACAAAATAAACACAAAACGATCAGCTTTAAAAAAGGACTCGTAATTGGAAAAAACGAATGAAAAAAGAATGTTAACACAATTACTTTTTCACATCGAACCCAGTTCTGCGGAATCAGAATCAACGTTGAGTTTAAGCAAGCGAATGAGCCAATTAGAGTAAAGTGCCATGCAGATTTAAATTTTTCCCACTTGTGGCGAATGCAGCTATCGATTTTTTTTGCATGCTAGCATGCTAGTTAACATTCGTGTCAGTCAGCCGTTGGCTCTCAAGCTGGCCAATAGAATCTTCCTGTCTATTCGTGGCAGCCAGCTATAGGCTCTCACTCTGGCCAGTAGAAAATGGCCACAAACTACTAGAAAACTGTCGTAGAAGCATGAAAAAATCGATTATTTCCACTATCCACTAGGTACATTAAAATTTATAGCATTTTTTACAGATTATTTCTATCGCAAATACAAATAAAGTCATAAATTCTTTATAGTGCACATGAACTTTATGGACACCCTGTATGTTGGGTTGGTGTATAATTATCAGGCGTTTTTGTAGGTGAGTTATTTTGACACCTAAAAACTCTTAAAACATTATACTATACAGGGTGTCCATAAAGTTCGTGTGCAGTTCAAAAAATTGTAATTTTATTTGTATTTGCGATAAAAATAATCTGTAAAAAATGTTATAAAGTTTAATGTACCTAGTTTTAAGTATAGCTAAAATAACTAATATGATTTCAGGCATTACTGTAAATCAGTTGCCAAATGTTTTCCGTCAACTGGAAAATCGTATTACCTTGTATGGCTAATGATGGAGGACATGTGTAAACTTAAATAAAATTTCAATAAACCGTTAAAAAATATAGAATGATTTCTTTCTAATCCTTTTTACAAATTATTTCTATCGCAAATACAAATAAAGTTATAAATTCTTTAAAGTGCACATGAACTTTATGGACACTCTGTATATTGGGTTGGTGTATAATTATCAGGCGTTTTTGTAGGTGAGTTATTTGTTAATAAAAATTGATGTTTGTTTACTTTTTTTTAAAGAAAAATATTATTTTATTTTCTGGTTATAAAAATGCGTGTAGATAATCATACGCTCCGAAATAATCATTTAAAAATGTTATTGTTGAATTATGTTTCTTTTTTCATAATAAAAATTGTTTAAAAACGCCTGATAATTATGCACCAACACAATAGACAATAAAGAGAGAGTAAAAAAAGAAAGAAAGAGATAAATGAATGAACGGGGGTGGGTAAATAAAAGACAAAGAGGAAAGCAGTGAAAAAGAAAGGGAAAAACAAGAAACAAGAGAGGGAGAGAGAGAAAGATAAAAAGAAAAATTGAAAGAGAAAAAGAGATAAAATGACTAAAAGAGAAAGAGGGCAAGACATATAGAGAAGAGAAAACGGACAAAAAGGGAGAAAAGGTGAAAAAAAATAACAAGAAAAATGGAGAAAATAAATCGAAGAAAGAAAGAAAGTTGAAGAAAGAGTAAATACGAAAGAGAGAGAGAGCTGAAGAATGAAAGGCAAAGACAGTGTGAAGAGAGAGTGAAAGAGAGTGACAGGGAATGAAAGAGCGAGTGAAAGAGGGAGTGAAAGAGTGAGTGAGATAGAGGGAGAGAGAGGGAGTGAAAGATAGAGTGGGCCAGTGAGATAAAGGGAGAGAGAGGGAGTGAAAGAGAGAGTGGGCCAATGAGAAAGAAAGAGAGTGTGAAAAAGAGATTGAAAGAGAGAGTGTGAGAGAGTGAGACATAGTGAAAGAGAGAATGAGAGAGAGCGAGTTAAAGAGAGAGTGTAAGAGTGAGTGAGTGATAGTGAAAGAGAGTGGGTCAGTGAGAGAGGAAGAGAGAGAGAGAGTGCAAGAGAGTGGGACAGTAAGAGAGGAAGAGAGGGAGTGCAAGAGAGAATGAGTGAGTGATAGTGAAACAGAGTGGGACAGTGAGAGAGGAAGAGAGAGAAAATGCAAGAGAGAGTGAGTTGGAGTGAAAAAGAGCGTGAAATAGTGAAAGAGAGAATGAGGGAAAGTGAGTTAAAGAGAGAGATGGAAAGATGGAGTGAAAGAGAGAAAAAGTGGAGTGAGTGAAAGAGAAAGAGAAAATGAAAAAAGAGACTGTGAGAGAGAGTGAAAGGGAGAGTGAGAGAGAGAATGAAAGAGAGAATGAGAGAGTGTGAGTGAAAGAGAGAGTGAGAGAGTGAGAGAGAGAATGAAAGAGAGAGTGGGAGAAACTCAGTAAGCGCGGGTAGTAAATTGAAAAACAAAAAAGGGAGCATTAAAGAGAAATTTAAAAAGAAAGAAAGAAAGAAAGAAAGAAAGAGGGAAAGGGGGTTAAGAAAGTAAAATTGAAAAAGAAAGAGAAGAATTAAGAACTAGACAAAGGAACTCAAAAAAAGAAAGAAAGAAAGCCAAATGTCAAAAGGTCACGAAGAGAAAACAAAGAAGAAATGAAGGTGGAAACAAAAGAAAAAGTGAAAGAAAAAGAAAAAAAGAAACGAAAAGAAAGGAAGAATGAAAACTAGAAAGACCCAGAAAAAACGAAAGACAGAAAGATTGAAGGAGTGGGTTAAACAAAGAAGGCAATTAAATTTGAGCGAGGAAATGTGAAAACGTGTAAAAGAAAGCGAAAGAGTGATTGACAAGGAAAGAAAAAGACTCATAGATTAAGAAAAAGAAAGAAAGAATATAAAAGAAAGAAAAAAAACAAACAAATATGATGAGAAATTGCGAAGTGTATAGAAAGAAGAAAAAATTGAAATAAATAAAGAAAAAGAAACAAAGAAAAATAAATATACAGTTAAAGTGACTGTGTGGGAAAAAGAAACAAAGAACGAGAAACATTAAAGAGAAATTTAAAAAGACACAAGAAAGAAAAAGAAACAAATCAAAAAGAAAGTGACAAAGAAAAAAAAAATGGAAAGGAAACAAATCAATAAAGAAAGAAACAGTGACAAAGTGACAGTAAAATTGAAAAAAACAAAGAAACAAGTTAATCAAAAGAAAGAAACAGAAGAATTAAGAACTAGACAAAGGAAACTCAAAAAAAAACAGTGACAAAGTGACAGTATGAAAAAGAAAGAACAGTATGGAAAACAAAAAATGGAAACAAATGTCAAAAGGTCACAAAGAGAAAACAAAAAAGAAATGAAGGTGGAAACAAAAAGAAAAGTGAAAGAAAAGAAAAAACAAATCAATAAAGAAAAACAGTGACAAAGTGACGAAAAACACAAAATGAAAAGGAAGAATGAAAAACACAGAAAGACCCAAATCAAAAAAAGAAACAGTGACAGAAAGAAACTAGAAAGAAACAAAGGAAAGAAACAGGGTTAAAAAACACAAAAAAGGCAAATAAATTTGAGCGAAAACACAAAAATGGAAATGAAAAACGTGTAAAAACAAAAAAAAAAAAGAACAATAAAATCAAAGAAACAGTGATTGAAAAACAGGAAAGAAAAGAAACAAAGAAACAAATCATAGATTAAAAAAAGAAGAAAGAATATAAAAATAAAGAAAAAAAACAAACAAATATGAAAAGAAAAAATTGAAACTTAAAAGAAACAAAAGTGTCAATAAGAAAGAAACTTAGAAAAAAGAAACAAATCAAAGTGAAATAAAACACAAAAACTTAGAAAAGAAAAAAACAAAAAGAAAAAAGAAATATAAAGAAAAAACAGTTAAAAGTGACAGTGGAAAAACACAAAATGGAAAAAAGAAACAAAGAAACAAATCAATAAAAGAAAGAAACAAAGAAAAACACAAAATGAAAGAAACAAAAGGTATACAGTATGGAAAACGGAAAAATGGAAAACTTATAAAGAAACAAAGAAACAAATCAAAAGAAAGACAAAGTGACAGTATGGAAAAATACAAAAATGGAAACTTAGTAAACAGTGACAAAGTGACAGTATGGAAAACACAAAAATGGAAACACAAAAAACAAAAAACAGTATGAAAACAAAATGAAACTTAGAAAGAAACAAAGAAACAAATCAATAAAGAAAGAAACAGTGACAAAGTGACAGTATGGAAAACACAAAAATGGAAACTTAGAAAGAAACAAAGAAACAAGTCAATCAAGAAAGAAACAGTGACAAAGTGACAGTATGGAAAACACAAAAATGGAAACTTAGAAAGAAACAAAGAAACAAATCAATAAAACAAAACTTAGAAACAAAAACAAACAAATGGAAACATAGTGACAGTATGGAAAACACAAAAATGGAAACAAAGAAGCAAGTCAATAAAGAAAGAAACAGTGTGACAAAGTGACAGTTTGGAAAACACAAATATGGAAACAAATAAAGAAACAAAGAAACAGTTATACATTATGGAAAACGGAAAGATGGAAGCAAGGAAAGTAAGAAAGACACAAGTAAACTAACAAACAAAGAAACAAATCAATAAAGAAAGAAACAGTGACAAAGTGACAGTATGGAAAACACAAAAATGGCAACTTAGAAAGAAACAAAGAAACAAGTCAATCAAGAAAGAAACAGTGTGACTAAGTGACAGTATGGAAAACACAAAAATGACTAAGTGACAGTTTGGAAAACACAACGATGGAAACAAAGAAAGAAACAAAGAAACAAGGAAAGCTAGAAAGACAAAAAAAAACAGAAAATGTATGAAAAATTAAAATAAACGAATCCATGTTGCAGTATAACAAAAAGAAAAAATATAAACTAAGAAAGAATGAATAAGGAAGAAATGAAAGATAAAAAAAGAGGCGTGGCGAAAATGCAATGTGAGAGTGACAAGGAAAGAAAAAGAGCCAATTAAATCGAAAAAGGAAAAGAGAAAGAAAAGGAGAACGACTAAATGAGAGTGGTAAAGAAATAGGAAGCAAAAACGAAAAGGAGAAAGAAAGAAAGAAAGAAAGAAAGAAAGAAAGAAAGAAAGAAAGAAAGAGAGAAAGATGGAAGAAATAAAGAAGGAAGGAAAGAAAGAAAGGGAGAAGGAAATAAATAAATAAATAAATAAAGAAAGAAAGAAAGAAAGAAGGAAAGAAAGAAAGAAAAAAAGAATAAGAGATAGAGGAAGTAAGAGAGGAAATATCTCTGTGGACATATCAAGGCAGAAGATGGAGAATCTAGACAAAGAAAATAAAAAGAAAAAAAACAGATACAACATTAAAGGAATCGGTAAAAAGAAAGATCTTCTATTGACAAAATCCGAAGGAATAAAATCACCAAAACTTATAGGATAGAAAAGCCGCCAAATGGAAACGACAGAACAACATAGAAATTAAGTATCGTTTGCTTTTCGCGCCTGACTTTTATTTGATGACTTTCTCCAATGGCCTGCAGCTCGTCGCTGTGGACACAGGAGTAAAAATGCCTCCAGCAGTTTTACTAAAAGTTGGTGACGCTTCTAATTTTGTTTAATTTTTTTTTTTTTTCATCCAAACAATCATGATGAATTTAAAATTCATGAAAAATACTTTTCAAACATTTTAATGAAAAACAAATAAATAAATAAAAAAACCTGTCACGGAAAGAGACATATATTTCTTTGGGAAAAATATTTCTGAAATTTGAAAAGAAATCGGGTGATTTGCAAAATAACTTCGAAAAGAAATTAAAATAGAAAAAAAAAAAAGAAAGAAAAACGAGAAAAATGGAGAAAAAAAAATTTGAAGGAAGGAATTTTAGAAATTTAAAATTTTCTTTTATGAAATTTTAAAAAAGTAAATAAATATAGGAATATATTTTAAATATATCTTAAAGAATTATACCTTCCCTGGAGATATTCTTAATTTTTTTATTTTCTAAAACACTTTATAATATTTTATATTTCAGATTTATTACCGTTTACTAAAAATGGAAGAAAAATATTTTACCACGCGCAAGTTTTCTCCAAAACACATTTTCAAACACACACACACACACACACACACACACACACACACACACACACACACACACACACAGAAGTAATTAAGTAAGCGAGTATGCTCGTTTTCAAAGACGGCTAGCCAATCCCTATTGCAGAAGCCTGCTCAGGCACATGTCTTAAAGGGAGGAAGCTCCACAAATTCAACCCAGATATGAACCTTATGACCGTAAGTTAGGATTCTATGAAGAATGAGGTATTGGCTTGAAACTAAAAGAGGGTCGAAAATGGAACAACATAGAAATTAAGTATAATTTGCTTTTCGTGCCCGACTTCTATAGAATTTTTAAAAAATTTTATATAAAAAAAATATATAATTTAAGTTCCCACTTCAAAAAGTACCAAATTCTAACTACAAATGAGATATATCAACAAGATTAACAGTTAATCATATTTAGATAATTTATAATAAGTAAGAGTATATTTAAAAAATTCAGTCGAAAAATAATTACAAAACCTACCTATATATATATATATATATATATATATATATATATATATATACCGTCACCCACAGACAGACTCACAGCTCATCAGTGTGGCTAGACATCCGGTTGCCTCCAGCTAGGGTCAAAACCCGACTGAACTGGTGTCAGTCGGAGATTCTAACCATTAAGCCATCGGCGCACGGTAGGGAGGAAAGTGGATTTTTAGCGTGTTTATCTTTATAAACACGCCCAGTGACCAGGAGTGACTCAATTCGCATTAGCGAAGAGTCTCCCTATATAGCTATAATAGTCACTGTTTACCAACCCACATCTCCTCCCCAGAGAGCTCAACTGAAATTAATTTTTCAGGAGCCAATATATATATATATATATGTCTATATTTCTGAGATTAGGTATTATGTACCCTATTTACATTATTCGAACTATTGTCCTCATCTTTGTCGCCATATTTATTACAACGTTTCGGCCGTTGTACGCTCCGGCCTTCTTCAGGTGGTTGGAATGTCGAACTGAACGTTTTATTTCGCTCACTGGGGTAGACTGTTCAAGGACACTTGCACAGTGGATAAAGGCGTTGGTTAGATCCAGTGACAGGACCCAAAGGGTGTGAGTTCAATACCTGTTTAAGTCAGTGGAGAAATTGAAGAGAGGAATTAATAGGAGATAACGGATATCCTTTAAATATGGCATGTGGAACAGAACAATCTTCAGCTGCTGAAACTCCGAGTCGTGCTATTGACGAGGGATAATATGCATAAATATTAATATATACTTAATTGGTATGTTGTATTACATCGAGCAATGTTTTATTAACACCAACACTATGTGTACGATGTATTATAATTATATATATATATATTTATACTAATAATGCATATACATATTGTTCCACGCCGTTTTGTACAACTTAGAGATGTATCATTTTTTCATACGTCAGTTTGATCTGTAGTGTCATTTCAAATATATTATTATTATTTGTACTAGTAGTAGTAGTAGTAGTAACACAAATTTAAATGCAATATTAATATTTCATTCTACACAACCCCAAATTAATGTCATAAGGTTAATGTTTGGGTTTAATTTTACACATCTTCTCTTTAAGATAAATACTTTTCACCTTCCCCTGACTCCTGTCTCGTGCATTTCGTCTGACTGAAACATTGAAACGGATAAATTCTGGATCTATTTTTCGAGTGTCGTTTTTAGCTTTCACAGTTAAATTTCTATTTCTAACACGAACTCAGTCCACACTGGGGTTGATAAGACAGACGACCGATACCATTCATATGCCGAAATAGGCTATTCCCCATCTGAGGTGATTTTGAAATTTATTGTTTATTAATTATTATTTTTCCTCATAAATTTGTCTGGATTACATAATTTATAAGTGATAGACATTTGGAAAAATGTTCATGGAAGCACGTTTCGTAAATAATATTGGATAATGCATTTCGCCTCTAAAACACACAAATGCATATACACATAAGACATTTTTCGTTA